AAAGTTGAACTCAGGTGCTTCTGACTCCAGAGCCATGCTCTATCCACTTCTCTACCTGGAAGCCCCTCTTTTGTTGATGATAGTGCTAAGAAATATACATTTTCCCCTAAGGACTGCTTTGGCTCTATTCCAAAATAATTATCTTTTATTGAACTACCTATTGTTTCTGTTTCATTCTTTGAGCTACTTATTCTTTAGGATTAAGTTATTTGGTTTTCAGTTAATTTTTAATACTTTAGTGACCTTTTACTGAATTTAGTTTTTGTTACAATATATAATCCTTTATATCATTAAAGGATGCATTTAACATTATTGCTTTTCTACTTCTTAGGTCTATATGTTTTAATACATGTTTGATTTTTGTAAAGGTGTCATGAACAGCTAAGAAATACTTGAACTTCTTTCTATTCTCATTCAATAATCACCAGATATTTATCATATCTAACTTTTCTAAAATTCTATTCTAACATCTTTTTTGCTTATTGAGGATCTATTATAATTTTACTAGCTTTTCCTTTATGTATTTAGTTATTATGCTATTTAGTGTCTATATTTTAAGTGGTGAATTCCAGCAAAATGTTATTTTACACTATTTTTGTTGCCTTGTCATAATTGTCACCCCTTCTTTTTTCATGTTGGTTTCAGCATAATAGATTTTGCTCCAGCCTCTTATCTTAATTCTGTGTGAATCCTTATGTTTCAAGTGTATCTCTTGTAAACAACACAGTGTCATATTCTGCTTTTTATACCATTATGTCCTCCTCTTCTATTTTGTGGATGAGTTCATCCTACAATTCACAATTATAATAGTTAATTGCATATTTCCCTCCATCCTTGTTCTCTTAAACTTTTCCCCTTCCTTTGTTTCTATTTCTTCTTTATTATAGGTTTTTACTTTCTTTCCTTTTAACTCTCTCTTCATTATTCCTTCTCCAAGCATAGATTTGTTGTGCTTATGATTAATCAGTCCTTGAACCTATGTTCCCTCCCTCTTATGTCCTCACTTTCTGTTCTCTCCCATATCTATGCTGAGTTGAATATATTTCTATACCAGCCTTTTATGTGGATGTGTGTGTGCGTGTGCTCTGCTCTTTTTAACTAGTTCTAATGAAAGCGAAGTTCAAATAGTACCATTCTCCCTACACCTCTTCTACATTTGTATAAACTTTTACCTGAGCACTTCAATTATGAGATAATAAATTTCTTCAAGCTTGTCCCCTTTTCTTCCCCAGTGCATCCTTCCATACTTCTTTTCTTTTTCTTTCAAAATTGTCAAAATATAACAAAAACTTCTCATTTGACTACATCACCCACTAAGGTTCTGAAAGGATCTTTGTATCACATGCTCTCCCATTAGAATATAAACAGTTTATCCATATAAAGTCCCTTCCAACTATCCATTGTGTTTACTTTTTTTTATGTTCCTCTTCACTCCTGTATTAGTATTTCAAAGTTCCTATTCTGCTCTGGCCTTTTCTTCAAGAGTTCTTAGAAGACTTCCATCTCTTTGAAGATCCATTTTTTTTACCTTGTAGCATTATATTCAATTTTTCTTGGTAAGTTATTCTTGATTTTTAGGCCTATATCTTTTGCCTTTTGGAATGTTGCATTCCATGTTCTCCACTACTTCAAAAAATCGTAGCTGCTAAATCTTGTGTGATCCTGAATGTGGTTCTTGAATTCTTTCTAGCTGCTTTCAGTACTTTTTTCTTTGACCTGAAAACACTGGGTTTGGGCAGTGACATTACTGGGAACTTTCATTTGAGAGTTTCATCTTGCAAATGATTAGTGGATTCTTTCTATTTTCATTTTGCCTTATTGTTCTTTTTGGTCAGTTTTCTTTTATGATTTCTTGAAATATATATTTTTGGTCATAGCTTTCAGGCTGCCCAATGATTCATAAATTATCTTTCTTTGATCTCTTTTCCAACTCAATTGCTTTTAAAATGAGATAACTCATTTTCTCCTATTTTTTCAAAATTTCTTATTGTTTTCTAGAATCATTAACTTCTATTTGGTACTTTCTAATTTTTAGGGGAGTCTGTTATTTGAGTAAGGTTTTATACCTCTTATGTTAAGTTTTGTCTTTCAAAATCTTTCTTCCATAGCTTTCATTTCTCTTCCAATTTTTTTTCCTCTATTGCTTTCATTTAATTTATAACATCTTAAAATTCTTGAATCATTTCTTCTAGGAATTCTAATTGATCTTGTGGGAAAGCTGTATTTTTCTTTGAGGCTTTGCTTATAGGTGTTTTTGAGTTTTTCTTCTCTTCTGGGTTTGTGTCTTAGGCACCTCAGGCATCATAATTGTTCTTTTCTTTCTTTTTTTTGGTTTGTTTACTCATTTTTCCTGCTGATATGTTTGGCACTCATTGAATGGTAGTCCTGGTCATAGATCAACCTTGTTAAGGCCCTTTACTTTACCTCAGGGGCCTTTCTTTTGCCTCCAGGCTTTCCTTGGCCTTTGCCTGAACTCCTCTTTCCCTCAGGGGATGACACTAAATTAGGATCCTTCCTTTCTTTTGTCCCAGAAACTGAGGTTTCACCTTCCTCTGGAGTTTTAGCTTTATGTTGGGGAGAGAAGCTTTTCTTTCATTAGCCCTTGCTCCAAAGTAACCCCTCCTCTGAGGATGGGGAGGATTGAGGATATAAGCTTTCCTCTAATTAATGGCTGAATATGAAGTCATCCCCCTTATTAAGGCCCTTTTCTTCTACAATCTGCTAAGGTTCCCCTTTCCCCTTTCTTCTTTCCAAGCAACTAGTGCTGAGACTTTTTTCTTTCCACTGATGTGCTGAAGACCTTCACTTCATAGTGTAGTGGACCCCCTTTCTAGGACATACAGGTCTGTCAAGTACTATAATTGTAGGAGAGCTAAGCTTTGCTGCTTCCTTTTCCTCCACTATCTTGACCTTCTATTACATTTACTTTTAGCTAAAATTAAATGTATTTTTGACTAAAACTATTAATTTTTAAGGCAGCTAGGTGTCCCAGTGGATAGAGCACCAGGCCTGCAGTCAGGAAGATTCATCTTCCTGAGTTCAAATCTGGCCTCAGACACTTACTAGCCCTGTATTGCTGGGCAAGTCACTTAAGCCCTATTTGCCTGAGTTTCTCATCTTCGAAGTGGGAAGATACTGGGAAAAAAATGGCAAACCACTCCAGTATCTTTGCCAAGAAAACCCCAAGGACAAGTCCAAGAGGTCACAAAGAGTTGGACACTACTGAACAACAAAATATAAAATAGGAAAACATCTTCAAAAAACTGGAAAAGTATTCTTATTAGAGTAAGAAGAGGAAAAATTTTCAGACCCTACTAAAATTGGGGTACTTATGCTGACAGCAAGGTAATAGAATCAAGGGGCAGAACGAGACATATTTTTGGACATGGCCAATGCAAGAATGTTTTGCCTATGTGTATTTTTTACAAGGACTAAGTTTTTCTTTTTCTTCTTTTTCCCCCAGTGAAGGGAGTAATATGGAAGAAAAGGAAAATAAATTTTTATTTGAAAAAAACAGTTTTTAGTTTAGTTCTCCCCACTCTATTGTGGGGAGAACTTTCTACTAGCGATTTAATGTGTGTCTTCCGAAATGATCTTCTATATACCTTCCTCCCCCATCAGGGCTTCTTAAGGGCAAGGACTTTTAAAAATGTTTTTGTTTTCCCTTTGTTTAGAACAGTGACTAAGGCATTTTCAGTTCAGTCGTTTCTCGTTCTTCATGACCCCATTTGGAGGTTTCTTGCCAGATCCTGGAGTGGTTTGCCATTTCCTCCTCCAGCTCATTTTACAGATGAGGAAACTGAAGCGAACAGGCTTAAGGGACTTGCCAAGGGTGGCACACAGCTAGTGCCGGAGGCCAGATTTGAATTCAGTGAGATGATATACTCCATCACCTGGCTGCTCAACTAACTTACAGTAGGTGCTTAAAGCTGGATTGACTTGACTTTAGAAACCGAAGTGCCTTTTGATCCGTTAGGGAAATTAGTACTATTACTTGTCAAACAAAGAGTGATATACACAGGACGATTTCACACACACAACCTGGTCTGTAGGTTCAAGTGACAAGCGTCAAAGTACCCTGGTTTCCTCTATCCTCAAGTGTCCTGGCAGGTTCAAATACCTGGGAAACCAATACATAACCTGAGGCTTACCAGTTTGGAGAGCATCTTTAGGCTTTAAGTGGGGAGAGCTGATCTTTATAAATGCAGCGATTGGCCGCTCCAGGACCCCGTTTTCAAGCCCTAGGCAGCCTCCATGAAACGCTGTTGAAGTGCCAGTTAAGGGCGGTCGTGCCACGTGCCAACCCTACACCCCGTGTGCCAACCTCGGGGAACTTTGGGGTGGTGAAAGCTTTGGTTTGTCTGGCACCTGGCCTGCGAAAACCAGGAAGCAAAGAGTAGAAGCAGGCTGCTATCCCTAGGGCAGATGAATGAGAAAAGGGCAAGCAGAAAGGCGCTATCCAGCGGACAGACCCGCGCCTCAAACCCGGGGCCAGCATGGGCCGTGCAAGGGGAAGTGGGGGCGGTCTGCCCTTGCTCCTGCTCCGGTTTCTGGGGGGCTCGGGAGCTAATGCCGCCGCCCCTGCCGAGGAAGAAGGGAAAAGTACTTGAGTGTTACTGGGTTTTGGAGAGTCGACAACCCACGCAAAGCCCGCGAGGGCCCATTGTGTCGGGGTCGCGCGCCTGCCTTTCCTTCCTCCGCAGCCCCGACACAATGGGCCCTAAAGGGTTTAGCGCGAGGCTAAGGTGGGCCCCGCTGGGCAAGGAAGCGCGCTCCCTCTGCCTCCGTGCGCGAGCCCGCGCGAGCTGAGTGGTTGAGGTGGCGCTCCCGGCGCGCGCTCGGCGTCCGCGTCCGGCTTGGAGTCGGAGACAGAACCGGTCCAGCAGCCACAACTGGGAGTCAAGGTGTGGCCCTGGAAACGCGCTCCGGGCGGAAACTGCCTGCGCCGGAAACGACGTTCCGCCGAAGGGAAGGAAGAGGTGCGGGGGGGGGTTGGGGGGTTGAGGGAGGGGAGAAGGAGGAGGAGGGGGAGGCGGACTGGTGCGTTCGCCGGCCGCTTCTCCCCACCCCCCACCACAGCCTCGGAGGGGTTGGATGGGTAAGTTGGGCGCGATGGAGAGAGTCGCCGCGGCGGGCGGCGGCGGCGGCAGCGGCGGCGGGGGCAGCGGCAGCGACGGCGGCAGCGGCAGCGGCAGCAGTGGCGGTGGCACCTCCTTCTCCTTGCCTCCTCCTCGGCGGGGCTGAGCCGCGGAGCCTCCCCGACCCCGCCGCCCCGCGGCCCCCCATGAGACTGTTCCTGGGCTGGCTGGGCTTCACCCTGGTCTCGCTGTGGCTGGCGAGGAGGATGTGGATGGGCACCGCTCGGTCCCTGCGGAGTCCCCTCGCCCGCTCCCTCTACATGAATATGATGAGCGGCGGCCCCGGGGAGCCAGCGGCCGCGGGCAGCAGGAAGGACAACCACCAGGTGGGGAGGGGCGCCCGCGACCCCGGCCCGCCCGTGCGGCTGCGGGGGCTGGGGGCGGTGTGCGTGCGTGTGTGTGCGTGTGCCCGGGCGGGGACCGAGGGAGGGAAGGGGGACGCAGCTATTGTGAGGGCCGGGGCTGGGGGCACCGGGTCAAGTTCAACCCCGCCCCCCCAGCCTGACGGCGGGAGCCGCGGACCGGGGGAAGGGGCGGGCCCTGCCCTCCACCGCCGCCCTTCCCCTCCCCAGAAAGTTTTACGAGCTGACTCAAGACTTCCCCACGGGATACAGGACGCCCCCACCCCATGCCTACACGCATTCAGCCTCCCATCCCCCCCAAACTCGGACCACTTGCAGCACTCCCACCCTTACACACGCACACACTTACACTTCCCCCTCCCCGAACTCGGATGCCCCCATTTGCAGCATTCCTCCCTTCGTGTGCACGCGCGCACATTGCTCCCCCTCCCAAAACTCGAATGCCCCCCACTTGCTGCACCCACCTCATGAACACACGTATTGCTCCCCCTCCCAAAACTCAAGAGGCCCCCACTTGAATCCCTTCTCACATTACACACACCCATCTCCCCTTCCCAAAACTCGTATCGGACCCCAACCCCCAGCCCTTCAAGCACTCCATCCACCCCACCCCCGCGCGCGCACACACACTCACACTCTCTGTGCCCCCGAACTCGGACGTCCTCCACTTGCAGCATCCCCCATACATATACATACACATAGGCCTCCTCCTCTCAAAACTCTTTTTGCCCCAGACCTGACCCTTCAACATTAGCCCCAGGCTCCCTACGGGGAAAGGGGCCTTTTGTTAAGGAAGAAAGTGGGTGCTTCGCTGGCTGGAGACGTTTACCATATGTAGAAGAAGAAAAATGGCCTTTTCTTCTCTTCTCCCACCTTCCCTCTTTTCCTTATCTCGGCTTGCCCCACTCCCCCCACCCTAGACACTTACAGAAACACACACTCCCCACTCCACTCAATACTACAAATGCTTGAGAACCCTCACAATCATCAGTGCCCTAGTCCGTGGTTTCCAAGGCTGGAAAGAGGGAGTAGGTGGTATTGTTCTGTCCCTGGTGAGTTTGTTGTTAGGGCTTTGCCACCTATTCACTTAGGGGACCTAAATATTCAAAAGCTTGGCCTCTCCACTTCTCTCAGGTTGCAGGATTGGAAGTTAAGGGCCAGTGCAGTGGAAAGGAACACACCTGGCACAGTAGGCTGAGATTTAAAGAAAACAAAAAAAAAAACCTAATTCTGGACTCCCCTATCCAGGCTGGTTTCCATTTCTTATTCGTGTAGTATGGTTTAGGTTATAATTCCTGAAGAGCTGAAAACATACAGTGTTTAAAGAAATTTCAACGGTATAGTATGAGCCACAGAACACAACAATCACTCTGATGACACTTTTGTACTGTACGTGTTCTAAAATATGTGTAAAGGGTTTCAGACAGTCATTCAGTCTTCTCTGGAAAAATGAGAACTCATTTAAACTTTATTATATGTATTTGCCAGAGGCATTGTGAGAAGTAGAAAGGTGAAGTTATTGAAATAAGACCTCTTAAAAGAACTCTTTATCAAGTGCCTTTTTCAGATTTGTGTTATATAGTAGATCCAGTATTATCCTTACTGGTATCTTCACGGAACTTGAATGGCAGACATTGGTGAATTGGTAGAGCTGAAATCTTTGAGATATGAGATTTGCCCATATAGTGGTTAGAAGTTAACATTGCACCCATTTTAAAAAGAGTCCTGGGCTCTTAGAACCCTTTCAGAGATATTACTGATCAATGTTAGGTAGACATCTTTTTATCTTTTAAAAGTTTTAAGTTGCCAGTGTAATAAGACCTGGCATTACATCATTGTTTTATGGTGTTCTAATTTATTATATTGTCCTTCCTTGTCATACCAGGGAAGGAGTATAAATAATTAATTTTTATGAATAGCATTTGTACTCAGGTACAATTTTATTTTCCTCACTGAAACACATAAAAGAATTTTCTGAAAAAGTAGATTGTGGTCCCTAAATGGTGAAGCAACTCTATAGAGAAAAATGTGGATCTTTGACTTCTGGTATTTGATTTATCGAATATTTATAATGATTATTTTTTAAAAATCAGAATTCTCTATTTCTTTTAAATCCTAGTTATCCCATTTTCATTGTTAGGTGAGTACCATAGGCAGAAAAAGTTGGGATAGATACTTCTTAAATTGTAAAACAGTAATCATTGCTAGTGATTTTAAAAAAAAAGCATGGTCCACTGACTGCATAAAAACTAAAGCTGTTAAATACTGTATTGATAACTGCTCTAGAAATACAGGTAAACAGGAAAGGGTAGAGAATTTATGAAGTAGAAATGACAGACAAGTGAATAGTGCCTTAACAATTGGTAGTTGTGAATGAATCTCTTAGGCTTGGCTGTTTGTAATAACATTTGTAATAATTGCATGGATATGTTTGTAATATATGTTTTCATTGTCTGTGGAAAGCTAGTTTATTTCCAAACATAAAAAATGGTTAAGCAATTCTTATTTTATGGGGCATAGTTAAAGTATAACTTCAAAGCAGCAAAAAACCAAAAACCAAAAACAAAAAAAACCCCAACCTGTCATCAGATGTTTGTTTTGCAGTGAACTGCTTTTAGGGCTGAAATATTACAGGAACAATTGTTACTGGTTTCAGGTACTATACATTTAAATATGATTCTCAAGTTTAAAATTATTTTCACTGTAATTGCTCTTAAATTTTTACTTATAATTTTTCCGTGTTGAGAAATGATCTAGTGCCGTCTGATTGTTCATGAAGAATGTTGGTTTAAAATACTCTTTTGAGATAAATAAATACACATAATGGAAATTTTAGCTCTTTTAGTGCTTTCATGAATAAAAACTAAAATGAACCAAGGAAGTAGGTGTGTAGAAACTGGAGTGAAAATGAAGGGAATCCTTTAGGGATTTCAGGATAGAGGTTCACCTTTCATACACACTGTAGACACTTGCTAGTTTAGTCAATATTGTTATATGACTTGTTTTGCACATTCTTATAAATTTGAAATGTAGTCTCATGCAGTTTTGGATTCTAAGTATGCATGTTAGCTTTTTGCACATGGAATAACTGATTTTGAAGGATTGTGTTTGTCCCTCTTTTTACAAGTTAATAGTTTTTATGAAGTATTGTATTTACCTTCAGATATTCATACTTTGTACTTGTTCACATGAATGTGTGGGGGGAAAAGGGTCAGTCATATCTATACATGATTTTATTTTTCTTTTGAGATTCATTGGCAAAGATAAGTAAAATTTTGTACAGTGTCATTAAAAAATGGACTTCAGGTTCAAGACACTCCATAGACTAAAATATCTCCAAGACAATAACACTAAAACCAACTAAGTGTTCTGGCATCAAAAACTGGGATCTTCAGTTGGTTTTTGCAAGGATAAATGTATAAAGAAGGGTATTTATAGTTAGAGCTTTCCCCTGAGACTTTATGCATAGGTGACCTATATTGTAAATCTGCTATGTTTATAAGCTCCTACTTTTTTTAGTCAACAGCACTGTTCTTCATTATAGGCTTTGGTTGTCTCTGAAACCAAGCAAACTGTGGGAGGACACTCATAGATGTTAAATAGATGTAACATGTCAATCTAGCCAGTTTGAACCAGAACAAACCCTTTGATCTGGATCTTTTTGATGACTTGCAGGTGGAAGAGCTTAGTATTTAAAATTTATACAACTGTCTTGGAGCTTCTGGAACTTAAGAGCCAATAAGCCTCAGGACCTAGCTACTTTGTAACAATAGTCATTTAATAACAAACTCAGTTGAAACAAAATTGTTACAGATCTGGGTTAAATCTTCTAACTTTACCCATTTCTTAAAAAGGAGTGTTCTAAAAGAAAACAGTATTCAGTGCCCTAAATTATTAAGATATAATAACAAAATCACAAGTACACATATATGAATTTTTTTTCTCCTCCCCCTGAAACAGATTCTTAGGCTTAGGATTTTGACAGCTGATAAATCCAACATAGAATATAAGATTTTTTTATTTTTATACCTGCCTACTTTGGTGCTGTTTTTCAAACAACTTAGAAATCTAAAGGTCATTTAGGTTGTGTTCAGGGTTCTTATAAAAACTTCCAGTACCTGAATGTGCTCGGAGAAAACCATAGAATTTTCCCCCAAGTTGTCATGAATCCCTAATACTATAGAGCAGTTGACCAAAAAAAAAAATCTAGACTTTTATTGATAGATTTTCATTCTTTTACTCTTCCTTGCCTAGACTATTTCATTGATTGATGACAAACTGCAGCCAGATACATAAAAGATCTTGGCAAGCACATCTTGGCTGCTCACAAGTTCTTGAAACCCCAAATGAAGAATCTCTTCCAATTATGAAGTTCAGTAGGGATTGTGCCCCTTCCCCCTCAAATTGACCAGTATTTCAGAGGTCTATATTTTTCTGTTAGGTGTTGCCACTAGAGAGTCTTGAAATTTCCAATAAAAGATGCTATTGTTATGTCCCAGCTGCTCCCAAAGTCTCTATTAAAATCTTAGTACTTAGTAGATTAGTTGTAGCAGTGAGTGAATATCCTAAGTGAGGCTGCCAGTGAACCACATCATTATTTTTTAAGATAGTATTTTCTCATAATTTAAAGCCCTTCATTACTCTTATGTATAAATGAATGTACGATCATAGATTTAGAGCTGGAAACAGTCTTAAGGATAATCAGGTCCAATCCTCTCATTTTATAAATAAGGAGACTGAGACTTAGAGAAGTTAACAACTTCCCTAAGGTCACACAGTTATTAAGTGACAAGAGGGATAATTTGAACCAAAGTCCTAGGACTCCAAATTTAACATTTTTTCCACTGTATCAGGCTGCACTTCAAGCATTATCAAAAGTGAGAGTGCCTTGTACTTCTACACACTGAAATTGCAGGATGTAAAAAGGTTACTAGGCTTGTATAGCTCCAATACTGGTCTTTTTA